TTCCAAACTGCTAAAGTTTTCTTTCATGCTATTCTTTCTTGCATTATTCCTACATTTTGAAGTCATTTTAATAAAAATATATTGATGTTATCAGTGTTTTCTTGGCATGCATGGTGCAGCATCACTCCACCCCCCACATCACCTGTTGCTTTGCATTGCTGATCACCACCATTTCATCTTGTAGCACTGTTTATAAAATCATCACAGTTTATAATTCCATTGTATTTTATTGCAATGGGACGTTAACGACCATAATTATTTATGTTCAACCAATAAATATAAAGTATGAAACGAGATAAGTATATCTTAAAACTTATGCCCGTCTCAATAATAATTAAATAATATATGTTTTGTCTTTACAACAGTTAAATCCGTCTTATAATTGCTGTCCAACTTCTCCATGTTCCCACTGGTACTTAAAAAAATATATTTATTTAATGATTAGCTCCAAGGCTGTAAGGCCTCCTTCCCATTACCTAAATCTTTAGCTCCTTCCACAGATTCATATTGAGTCTCTGATTGATCCACTTGTAGTGTAAAATAGTGTAAAATTTTAATATTATTTCCAGTCAAAGGTAAAATAAGCAAGATTACCCCAAGATTACCCAAGTTGTTAATCAGCTTATATTAGTGTACCTCAGGGTTACTCTATGAAGAAAATTACAGAAAATATCTTTAATGTCGTACCCACAGAGTTTACTTAAAATGTGCTACTCATTTTAACATGCCATATTATACAAAAACAATGCCTTAGTAAATATCAAATATAATAAATATGTGTCATTATTATTTATTTTATGATAATGGGATATCAAGATAATTTTACTCAAAGTTATCATACAGTAAGAATCTCAATTCATTCCATACATCATTACTTAAGCAAAACAAGGATTAAGTTTGTATTTCTTACCTCATTTCAGAAAATAATGTAAAATTTTATGTAAAACGCTCGGTAATGTGCCAGTCTGGCCTCTTTAAAGACCATATGACGAGGGTTGACTTGTGATGCACTGAAGCGTCTGGAAATGTTGTTGGAGCTCCATCTTCCATAGCCCATATGCTCTTTAAAAACAATCCCCCATTGCACCAAGAGGTGACAGACTTCAGCTCCACTGATGTTGTTCCTTTTTCACTTATTTATTTATATTTGCTGTTGTTTACCAACCATAACATGTCCTGCATTACATTAAGTTTTACCACTGTCAACGGTGTGTCGCTGAGGCAACTTTTAAAGCGAAAGGCAGAGAGAAAAAATTAGCTACGGTGACAAGTCTGAAGCGCGAGCAGGGGAGGGGGTCAAAGGTGCCAAGCCTTAAGCAAAGGTGCACCAGCCTTTGTCCGGTAGATTGTAAGGGCCTGCGGGTCCAACAGGAACATTTCCACACACAATATCCCCGAGCTGTCAGTGTGCAGCGTCTGGAACATCCTCTCAGAGAGAAAGAGGAGATGTGGAGGGGTAAAGGAGGAGGTAGAGGTGGGAGGATGCGAGTTGGTGGTGGTGGGGTAGAAAGGGAACAGTGGCCTGGAGATCCTAGCTGAGAAAAAGTAGGCGGGGGGAGGGCGCGTGGGGTGTTGGTGAGCCAAAAGAGCTGGTGTGGGAGGACAGAGAAATAGAGAGGGGGCGAAATGAGGAGGGAGAGCTAGGGAGGAAGGGGGAGGGAAGGAATAGAAAGGAGAGACAATGACAAGTAGGGGCTGGCTGGGCACTCACCCATGCCGACAGAGATTGCCATGAGCCATGGCCATTGTTTGAGCGGGTCTCAGCGCAGAGCCCGCTGGTGGGTTTCCGAGTTCTCCACCGCTTGGCTATAAACTGCTGCGAGGTTTATTTAGAAATGAGAGTATTTACACCTTTTACTGTATTTACACCCACTGTTAAACGGCACCCAGGAGATTTCCATCACACAGCCACAAACTAGCAGGCAGAGCGGCCCTCTGAAAACTGACCTGCTCAGTCATAACACTCCAGTAAACCTCGGCTTCACATGTCCAATATAAAACGCTGCTCAAACTGTGACCTGCAGAAGTGTAAAAACACTTTAGGGCCACGTTGTTACGGCAGGCGGGAGGGAGACAGCCTGTGTGTTTAACAAAGTAAATGTCTATTATTAATACCGTACAGGATAAGCCAATTTTAAAAAAAGGGGGGCACTTAAATGGCGATATTATTTATTTATAAGTCCTGCACACCAGTTAATGGAATTGGCGGCCTGCTTTAGAATCCGCAACACAGCTTGAGGTCCACTTTGGAGTAATGCACATGCTAAGAGAGGACCTTCCCAATAGGGTCTTTAAGTGTCAAATATGGGTCAGCCTGCTTGCGTTGACCTGGGGGGTGGTCAGCAGCAGAGAGAAACTCAGCTGTTAAGTGATGCCAACTCAACCATCGGCAAATTCCTCCAAGCATCTACTGATGCTAAGATGCATGTCCAAGTGCAGTGCTGTACTGGCCAGCTCCGGTTTGTCCAAAAAGAAAAAATAAATAAATCCATTTATTCTTGTCATGAACTCTAAACAAAGCCCAAGCAGAGTTGAAACGGTTGTTAAGGCTTCTAACTTTTTCTGACTATTTCTAAAACCCCCCTTTTTTGTTGTAGTTATTTTTGAAAAACTATCTGTACTGCTTCACAAACTCTGCCCCTTGTGATTCCTCTTTCACTTTTTGCAGTACACATACACACACTTTAAATCTGTTGTGAGACATTTCTGGATTTCTTCATGTTTGCTCCAGTTTTTTTGCTTGCTGCTGCAGTTTACCTGCTGCTTTTGCAGCGGGTAAACCTGCAAGTGTTAAATGCCTTACAAAATATTCATGCCATTGTCTTTTATTAACAAACTAGTGCAAATTTACACAGTGGAAAATGTAAGAATAGATGTTTGGAATAAGCCTGAACCTGAAACTTTTTGTAATTCTCATTTTTTTCCAAGTCATACCTCTCATTCTCTATTACAAATAATCTTTCTGCATTACTCTTAAGTTCAAAATTATTTGTCTGACCAGAGCACCTTCTCCTGCATGCTTACTGTGTCCCATACAAGTAAATTTCAGTAAATTAGAATATTCAATCCCATTCAGTTCATCTTTTGTAATTCAGTTCTTTTTCTTAACCCCATATTTCTGCCTATTACCCATAAAAAATATTTTTTTTATTGGTCTGATATAATACGTAAAACCTAAATGTCATGTTCTAATTAGTTGTAAGTGGAAAATCATAATTAACAAAACTATGTGTTTGAAAACATCAGTCTGTAATTAATCTATACCTCGTGGTTACTCGCCGAATTGACTTTTTGAAATAAATTAACTTTTCAATAAATATAGTGAAACCCTGATATTCGCAAAGGTTAAGGACCATAATCACTTGCGAATGGTTGAAATCTACTTTACACACAGATAAGGTAATCATCTGTAATGCATTATATAAGCATTTTATAATGCTTGCAAAAGCATTATAAAATGCTTATAACTGCCTGTATTAATCGTTTAAATATACCCCAACATGCATAAACACTCAGTGTAAATCATTTTAGCAGTATAACAGAAAATCATATCTAGACCAGGGATGCCCAAAGTCGGTCCTGGAGAGCCGGCATCCTGCATGTTTTAGATTTCTCCCTGGTGGTAGCAACGACCTTTTCAGCGTGTCAATGTTCTTCTTAGGCCTTCTAATGAGCCATCAATGGATCCAGGTGTGTTAAAGCAGAGAAATAAAACATGCAGGATGCCGGCCCTCAAGGACCCCTGATCTACACTCTTCCTTGCTTCCACTCTTGAGGGCACAGCCAATCAGCACCAAGAAAAGCATAGCTAATGGCTTGGCTGTTCAGCAAGCACCAGCCAATGGTTTATCAGGTAGCATTGTATCCAGTTATTTGAGATTCCCAAGCATTTTCTTTAGAATATTTTAGATATGCATTATGCACTAATATGTCTAAAATATCTAACATAGCCCAAACTTTATTCTAATTATCTAACCCTTCCACCTTTTTTATTCGAAAATAAATCAGAAAATAAGACTCCAACTTATTTTTGATGAATAAGTTGAGTCCCGTTCCACAGAAGCATCTGTGTTTAGGTGGGGCGCCACTGCATTCTGATTTATTGAGATGCCCCTGAGATTCAAACAGAACATATTATAGCTGTCTTCAGTTGTTTTTCCCCAGCATTATTTTATAAAAAGAGATTTGTGTAGCACACACGTTGTAATTGTCCAATCAACAGATTCTTCCACCTGTGCGATGGGTAACAGCAACTCCTCCAAAGTTACAGTGGACATTTTGGCTGCTTCTGTAAATAATCTTCTTTTCACCCAGACTGTCAGTTTTTGTGATCGCCACATTTTGATGGGTTGCAATTGAGCCAAACTCAGATGATGGATTTGACAGAGCTGTTTAAAGATGTTGGAAGCTTTGAATTTGTTTTCTAACTTTATTGCTGATTTATCTCATGCGTCCCTTTGTCTACATTGTGCTGGATATTCATCAATTCATCAGAGCCCAACTGTGATTAAGCTACACACAATTGGGCTCCCTTATTGATTAGGCTACTACTGAAGGAAATCGGTTACTCTTATTTTTTATGTAGTATGTCATATCCAAGGAGAAATTAATTCAAATTCACACCACACTTTTCAGATTTGCATCTGTAAAAAAAAAACAAAAAACTCACAGTTATATACTGCTATACTACAGTGTGCTCACCTATCGTGTGAAATCCAAATAAAATACACAAGAGGTTTGTTATTGTAATATGACAAAAAAGTTCACATGGTGTTAATAGTTCCTTGGCAGTGTGCAACTTTAGATTTTATGCACGCCTCAATTAATAGCTTAACTTTTATTCAGCATATAATGCCATCTTCCATCTGTGTCGAATGTTACTGCACTCCTGTGACTTTTTTTTTCCTTTTTTTAGCACCGTTCAAGCAAGAGCTGGGGTGGTATGATTGCTCCTCTGATCCCCATCTTACTTCCCTTGTCCTGCCTTACATCCCTCCCAGGAGCAGCAAGGCCCCCCTGAGCTGCGTGGTCACCGATAGCCCAGCAGAAACGAGCCCCGAGATGCAGCGCTGCGTTGAATGGCTCCAGGCGTACTTCACCGAGCCGCAGACCGCTGGGAGTCTCCCGCTCCCTGCCTTTCACCACCCCGCCCTGCAAGGAGGTCTGTCATGGATAAATATTTGCAGAGCCGTGACTGGGATCAGGCTTTCACTCTTAATTGTCAGTTACATCACTTACACTCACTGGCTCACTGTGTTATAATGAAGTATTTTATGGCTGAGAGGGAGAGTGGAGGAAAGTGGGTGGTGTGTGTGTGCGCGTGTGGATGTGTGTGTGAGCAGCGGAGAGAGAACAGAACACAGAGCTGTAACTTGGTTCAGTAATCTGTGGCAGCTCTTACCACGCGTGTTAGTCTTGGCAAGCTTTTTCATGATTCTTGGCACATTCTTTGAAACTGATCGAATTCCACTCTTGACATTTTCAGACAGGAAGCTTTCTTTTCTTTTTCTTTCTCTGTCTTTTTTTTTTCTTCTTTTAGATGAGAACATGTGAATGGTGGTAAAGTTTGAATGAGCTTATTGTTGGCTTGATCAGTCACTTAGGGTGTGTAAAATGAAAGCGGCCCAGAAAACTTGACAATTAGTGTTCTTCTAGAGGGAAGTTGTGCTTGTGGAGTTAGTGAAAGAGAAGCTAAAGGACAAAAATGAAGAATTAATTATCTCTGGTGCTTTCAAAGACAATGATTTTGTTGCCTAACAAACTTTTAAAATCAAGTTAAAGTCAGTACATTGGTCAAAACAATTAATACAATGTTTAAAATTATTCAGGCGTTGCCGCAGATTGTTAATGAGACTTCACTTACGTTTAGCCACTTTAACACATGAATATGCATTTAAACCTCCCCATCATATCTCTAACATATGTTTTGGGTCATTGTCCAATTTACAGCCCCTGATAGGTTTTATTGCATTACTCTTCTTGTTTATGAAAATCATGTCACAGCATGATGCTGCCACTGAAAGAATTGACAGTTGATGTGCACTGTGATAGTTTTTCACCATACATAGTATTTAACTATGTATGGTGAATGGTTCAGTGAATACATGTGTTTGCAAAGTAAGTGAAAGAAAAAATGAATAAGAGAATTTTTTTGTTTTGAAGACACTAATTTTGTCACACGACAAAACTAAATGTAGATATCAAATAAAAAGTCAGTGCTGTTTTCACAACTAAGAATCTTTTTTTATGTTATTTTACTGAGGCGCTTATCATATTTTAACTTAAGGATTTTCGGACCAGCTCACTTAGCCCCACATGCACACATACATGGAAAAAAAAATAAAAATATATGCATTTAACAATTGTGGCTCCCTTCCCCTGCAATCAGGCCTTAGTTGCTCTCTAATTTCATGCAGATCTGCGGTGCTTGAGTGATGGCATTTTCAATGAGCAGGTACTCCGTCGAGACCCTGTATACAGCTATGAGTCCCACGCTCCCGCAAAGGCAATGCAGAAAATACATCAGGACCAATTACGATATCAACTTTCAGTGTGATTCCCTTCGCCACCAAGTGCTTGTGTACCAGCCCCGGGCTCTTTCAAATCGCATCTCATCTGAAAGTCTTTGGGGTTTTAATTAAATTTCAGGATAGATGGAATTCTTCATTAGTACCTGATCTGAATAGGTGATTGTGCCGTGTTGCACCTCTTCCCCCACTCGTCTTTTGTTTTGGGGCTCCGTAAAATACAAGGTTTAGTCTCTCAGTAGTCAGAACCAGAGGCCAAACTAGTGGAAAAATGTTAAATGTGTGCATCAGGAGTATTTGTCTTTTGAGGGTAAAGAAAAAAAAAAAACATATTTTTTGTGTGTGTGTGCAAAAGATTTATGAATTGATTTTGCCTTTATGGAGCATAAATTTCTTCTTTAACAAGTCATACTGTTGCCACCAGTCTCCAAGAAAGAAAGGGATATAAAAAACAAGTATAATCAGGTCATTACAATCTGTGACAACCAACTTTTGTTTGCTCAGTTATCTTTGGGGAGAACCTGAACGCGACAGCGCTCTCGCAGCACTTGTCATGTAATATTGAGTTGTGACCTTCACTTGAAGTGTTGCCATGTTTATTTACACATTTCTGACAAAACAAGCCACTTTTCATATTAGCTGTCATAGCATACCTGAGAAACAGAGGTGACATGAAAGGAGATTCAAGGCGCAGTTCCCTATATCGTCTGACTGTCACGCACAACATCACACGGAAGTTTGGCCAACAGGGGTAAAGGAATGGTGAGAGCATGCGCGTGTTACGCTCAGTTAGCTCCAGCATGTGTATGTGCGGGTGTGTGTGTGTGTGTGTGCTCGCATTTGCTCCCTCAGAAAACCACAGACGCCAACGTGGGTTCTTAAAATGATGCATATTCTTATCTCATTAATTATACATCCATATGTAACAGACGAGAGGATCTTAGTCTCGGTAAGCGGCACGGGGAATGTGCTGGGAGGGGGGCCAGGCAAAAGGGAGGCGGGGGGTGGGGGGAAGGGCGCTCTTCAAAGCCCAAATGACTGTGTTCCTGCAGGAGCCTGAACCTCCCCCTGTGCACAGCGCAGGGCGAGATGAGACACTCACCAGGACTCGCCCCTGTGATGTGGAGAGGAATTAGGGAAATGAACGTTTTCAGAATATCGAATAATCAGAGAATCATCAGCACCCCGTCAGCCTTCAAAAGTATGGATCCCTTAAGACTCAAGAGACACTTTGACTGGGAGTCAAAGTCTTCCCTCCCATTAGACACAAAGGATAATGAGGTAGCTGCATTTCCACTATTGTCTTTTTGCTCTCTCACAAGCATGTAAGAGGTGACTGTCAGCTGGAGGTCGTCTCTCCAAATCTGTCATTAGCGGGGCTGATGGAAATCAGTTTACAGCTTTCTATTTTTCCTTCTCAAGATTGCTCTCGTATACAAAATTATGAGCAAATCAATCATATATGTCAATATCCTCATAATCGCTAGATGCATTCAATTTTTCTCCGAGTAAATCTGTCTCTGCCTCCGCAGCAGCCCCATCACCTGGCCTCACTGCAGGTAATGACCTGTGACATGATTATGGGCCGCGTGTAAACATGTAAGTGGTTTCCCTCAAGTTTTATTTAAACAATTGACATCACTGCACTCTGATCTAAAGAGGGTCCTGACCTCAGACACACCGTATTAGGCTCTTTATGAAGTATGGGGTTAGGGGACTGCTCTCCGAATCACTGCTGGTCACCTTGGGCGACCTGCATGAAGTGTCTGTCACAAACACTGATGAGGGCAAAGTTCTTTAACCTCTATATCTGCAGATGAAAGAACAGACACTTGTTTTCCAGCCCGACCTGCTCTGAGAAACAGGATTCGTGCAGAAGTGTTAGGAGCAGAGATGGACCGATCAGGCTTTTCTTGGCTTCATGCGGATTCCCTCTTTTCTGCGGGGTCTGATCTGCCAGTTTCAATGTTATTTTAATCCTAGAACTATTTCAAATAAAATTTCTTAGAGTAGCTTTGAAGCAAACTGAAAAAGAAAGAATTGGAAGACTGTATTTTTTTTTTTGCATCAAAGTAAAAAAATACTGTAACCTTCAACTGATGTTTGGTTAAACTCCGAACAAAGTGTGTCAAAGCACATGTTGTAGGTTGGTATTCTTACAAAACCAAAATTGTGCAGGTTCTTAGTTTTCAGATATTTCACAATATTGCTGGCAAAAAAAAAATGGTACATCACTAGTTACAGGATTTTTTAAAGGTTTTTAAGATAGAAGTAAGGTAATAGGATATGCTTGTTCTCTGATTTATTGTTTTTACTGAGAAGTTTAGTTATTATGCTTGAACAAAACTAGCTATCTACAAGGTGTGTGAGATCGCCTTAAGAATGTGTTTTGTACGTTGTTGATGGGGTGTTGACAGGTGACTCATTTGTTTTTATAACAAGTATGTTCCTTGTTTTCTAATGAATAGTTCAGGCAAACCTTCTGTATGAAATGTCCTTTAAAAAGAAAGATTGTCTGATGACAATATAGAGATGCAGTTAGCAGTGTTGAAAATAATATATTTACGTTTTTATTTCAATTTCAATGTAGACTCCAAACATTCTGAAAATGCATCACAATGAAACAAAACAATAATTAAACAAAATATTTGATCACATTCCACAGCTTCCCCCAAAGTAAATAAAAACAAAACAATCCAGGTCCATTTCAAAATTGGAATGTTGTGGAATTTTGTTCAATATTTTTCAATAATCTTACAAGCATGGGTTTCTCTAACCTTTCCAATGATGTTGCAGTGATGGAGAGACTGTGTTGGTAGCAGAAGCTTTTTATTTGTCTGGATCTGACACTTTATAAACTTGCCAAAACTGTCACATACTTGTCAGATCTGCTGTGATTGGATTGCAAAATGAAGTTGGTGAAAAAAAAATGTCCCTTACATTAAAGACCCACTACTAGCTCCTTTTTTAGAGAGAAGTGTATATTCATATCTTGCTTAAAAGCAAGGATTTCCATATTAATTAGTGATGCCAATCAATTAGGAAGTTTGGGGAGGTGATTCAGTTATGTAGCCAAAGTGTAAAGGCATATTTTTAGTTGACAATGTCATGTTAAACTTCTTTAAACTATTTAACAAATCAAAAATAAGTTGCAAGTAGGATATATCTCATAATGCATGTAAGTTCTTAAATTGAAATCACAGTGGTCTTGAAAAGTCTTAAAATGAACTTTCTTAAACTTATGGAAACTACACATTAGGCACGGTGTAACTTGTTTCCAGGGCGACACACACATTGTTTCGTTTTCCCGAAAAGTTTGCATCAACAGGGATTTGTCATTTGTCGTCACCTCGTTCGTCTACCCATCAGTGACAAAGCGATATCAGTATTCACCGCAGACATCACGAGGCCAAATCTGAGCTACAGGAGGGAGAGTGAAAAGCATAAAAAGAAAAAAAAATTTTTTTTTAGGGGGTGTTTCTTATCTCCTCACAACATTAAGGCTGTCTGCGTAAGAGCTCGTCATCTCGTTGACAGCGTGATTATTACCTGAAAAATTATTAAACAGTACCTACGGGCCTTGTTCAAGACAAAGAACTCACATGGGTGTGCATCAATCAAACGTATCCCCTTTAGGTTTTACACTTATTCCCCCCAGTTTAGGCAAATTGCCTTGTTCGCGTGGCTTTGTGTAGCAGAGAGTGACTATAAGGTAGCAAGGGAGCCTGGGGAGCAAAGGATGTTCGCTCTGTAGAAGAGAGACAGGGGTGTGACATGTTTTCACACAATGCCAATTTAGAGGGATTTCACATAGATCAGTTGTCATGTGCTCTCTTGGACCATATAAATGAGAGAGAATGGGAGATCACTAATTGAATTTTCATGGCGGAGTACATGTGTATACTAGACGAATTTCACCCAGTCTTGATAACAAGACTATTGTTCTCCTTCTTGTCCTGTGTGCAAAAAAAAAAAAAAAAAAAAGAGAAAAGTGTTTTTCCACTCGCTACACAAGCTGAGTGCATCAGTGTCTCAAGCGTTCGAGACGCTTCAGATACTTTTCCCTTTTCGTCAGCAATCGGAGCTAGACAAACATGCCTCTCAGTCACTGCCTGGTAATCCAGTAAAAAAAAAAAAGAAAAAAGATAATTCTGCTGCTAAAGTGCTAATGAAATCAAAGCCGGTAATATGGTCGGTTAAGCTGCGGATGATTTGAGGAATTCCGCCATTTAAGTGAAGATGATATAATGAATCTACTCTGAATAGAAAGCAATTAAAAGGACAAATTGGTCTGATTAACCTCAAAGTCATCCCACTGCCACAAATGGTTTTTGCAACATTCAAATTATTATTATTAAAAATCTGGAGCAGATTTGCAGTCTTTTTGGCCCCTCTTAATCCTTTTAAATGAAGGAGCGAACTTTTTTAATTTTAGCTGTGACCTTTCCGAGGCATAACCTAGATTTTTCTGCCATAGGAATAATTTTCTCACGTCTGCTTGTGTAGCATGTTAATACTGGTTCTAAGGTCAAAGAGGGGAGACTTCTTCGTATTTAGCTTTTAATGAGTGCTGTAAGGAATAAAGAGAGACAGAGAGAGATCCCGGTATACAGCAAGTGTTTTAATCGGGCATATTCACACTTTCTGTTTTGATTAAAAAGAGTTCCATCAGCGTGCGACGCTTCCTCGTGTTATCAAATCTCTGCCAGATTTAATCTCACCTTCTTTTTTCTCTCTCTTTTCTCCCCTGTCCTCTGCCGCGTGGCGAAGATGCCTTCACCAGCCGCGTGCTGCAAGTACTTCTGAGGGACGTGAAGTTTGGAGAGACGGTCTCGTATAAACGCCTCGCCGAGATGGCGGGAAACCCCAGAGCGGTGCGGGCGGTGGGAGGGGCCATGAGGAGGAATCCGGTGAGTGTGGATGACATTGATTGACAGGCTTCCATCATTACTTAATTTATTCAAGCCAAAAGGGACAGAAATTGGCTTTTATCATAAAGCTATCTATTATGAATATAACGAAAAATAATGAAAAACTAGTTTAATTATTTCTTAAAAATGTACAGAAGGTTAAAGATAGAAGTTTGCAGCTATTTAAAATGAAATATTCATAATTAAGGCAAAGATTTAATAATATATTCTTTGACATAGAAATTTTCCAGGAAAAATTATGCTGAAAATTTCACTTTAGACATAAAAAAAAATTAAGTGCTTAAAGTTATTCAGTCCATATTAAGGGTGCCATTTACACATAAAAAATGAAAATAATACAGGAGTTAAATTATTGTTATTATATGTGATCTACATTGTTAACAAGGGATATATTAAAGTTGTCTAATTTTATTTAATATACTGTATAACAAATCCCTTTTTATTGTTTTTACAAAGCACCTTTAAATTATTACTATTATTAGATGTAAGCACAAGTATAGATTTAGAATCTATACTAGATACTGAGTTAAGTATAATTTTTGGACTTTACTACAGAGTAATATTGAAAATAATGGCCATTTAAACATAATGGTGCCTTCCAAAGAGTGATTCGCAGAGCTCTTTTCAACTCCACATGACAACTTTTCGTGTTTTTGTTTTTCTTTTTTTCTGACTAAAAATATTTACAAACAGAGGAATTTGTTTTTATGGTACACAAGGACAAAGTGTACTAACTGACCTTCCTTCAGAGAACAGTAACAGGTGGGGGAGGAGCAGCGAATTAGTCTATGTAGCTGGAAAGAACTCTGGTCACTCCAGCAGTTTCTCTGGCATCCCATCAAAAGGGCTTTTAACCAGAGGAGCAGTATGATTGACAATTTCTGCATTTTTCAGACTTTGAAACCTTAACAAGTCCAAGCTAACTCATTCTCAGACCCATTGTTGTTGTTTCAGCTGTCTGCTGAGATACCATTTACTCAAAAGCAGTTCTGTAAAAGTTTTCCACAATCCAGGATATTGAATCTTAAATCATAGGTGTGTTCCATCATATGCAATCGGCACCTCCTGCCAAGAGCAGGCGAGGAGTAAAACTACCTACAGCACAGAATTTTTTAGTTTTTTTAAGCCCACATCTTTTTGTTCCTGCTCTCTCCTGTCGGTATCGTTCACCACAAATCTCCGATTCTTGTAGGAAACCCGGTCCGCATCGCTTTACCCACAAATCCACTGTGTACAAAATGAAAGGCCAGAGGGCAAGTGGTGTGTCTTCTTTTGATCAGACCCTTTGATCAAAGCCTGTTTAACTCTGCCCATGTAGTGCTGTGGGCACCACCGGTGTGCTCGGTGAAGGCAGAGAGCACTTCTTCAGTTATCTCCTTATATGCTCCATAAAACTCCATGTCGAAAAATTGTATGTATGCTTCGTTTTTCCTTCCGCTGCAGTTTGGAATTTAAATTTGCAGAAAGAACAAAAAAACGAATTAAAACTGCAGTTTTTCCGATCAGAATTGGGCCTAAAATTGCAAGGTTTGGCTCTTGATGCGCCGCATTAAATTCTCTATATACTTTACACTTTTCAGTAGCCAGTGGCAATACTGGTATATAGCTGTATAATAGTGCTCAGCCTCATGTTTTACAGACATTTCTTCCCTTTCGCCAGGGAGGCTGGGAGCCTGAGCCCTTAGCTCCTGATTCAGATCCAGAGTCAGATTGTCAGTGTCAATTACTTGTCAGTAGCACTGCTCCACTCGGGCTTCAGCTGTGAAAAGCTCAGTGTGCTCAATCGATCCTCGCCTCTCTGTGGCACTTCTTCACCAGGATTTGAGTATTGATAAGCCTGGCGTAGTGCTCTTTTTCCCCCCTATGTGAAGAGGCAGATCCGAAGGCCTTGAGGGTACCCCGCTCTCCCTCCAAACCCAGGGAACAGTATTGATCCAAATACGCGAGCAGTATTTCTCTGTCTGCAAGGTTAATCTGGGGGCTCAGAAAGTTTTATTGCTGTTGATATGGAAGAGGGTTTAATGATGGATTTTAACCGAAACACACACTGCTTGTTCAACTTTTTGTATGAAGGAGTGGAACCATCCATTCGGCGCTCAGCTCTGTTAAATTAGAGGGGATGCAGCCAGAGTGCAGCAGTGGTTTGGGATGCTTTTTTTTTTTTTTTTTTTTTTTTCCTGTTCGTGCAGCTCTAGCAAAACGAGGACATCGTTTAGAATATTTTAAAAAAAGAGGCGATTCCAGCGGTTCGCTCCGACGATTACCGCTTTTCTTGTTCCGAATCCACAATGATCGAAGTGTTTTAGGCTTGCTTGTTTAATCTTTCTCCAGCCATTTAGTTTACTAAGAACTCGGGACCCCCCTGGCAGCCGTCTGCAACAAGAGTAAACGCTCCACCGACTTCCTCTTTTTAATGATCACAGGGTTATCAGATCTTAATGTTGACACCCTCTCGATTGAATATTCATTCTGCTGGTGTTTTTGCCCATTAATTTTTGATTGCTTCTTTGCTTTTCACTATTAAAGAGTAAAAAAAAAAAAAAAAAACATTGATGCCCTAAGACTGAGCCATCATCCTGAATGTCGATTCGCACAGGATCAAACCAAATGGTTCTGTTGTGGCACTTTCTTTTTTTATGCAGCGAGAGAACATGAAAAGTGCAAAATAACTCAGAAAGGTGTAGTTCATGTCCTCTGCACGTCGAGTGCTTTTAAGTCACATATTCTTGAATTTATCATGTGCACCTGCTATCAAAATGTTTCAATTATTGATTTGCCTTGACTATAAATGCCAAACTGTGACCGAAGACCTGCAATCTGTGGTTATCTGCTTTTGTTTGTTTTTTTTCTATTTACCTTTTAGTTCTTAGATAAAAAAATTTATCTATGCTACTTCTTTTTGTTTGTAAATCAAACAAAAAAAATTTACTGATTAAAGAAAATCAACATCCAGCTGTGAAAAGTTACTTTGTCATGAGGAAGTGTGGTGAAATGTATGAGAAAAACAAAACAAAACACGTCTATTCCCTCAGAGCATCACACTTCTCCCTGCCCGTCTGTGCCAGGTTCCTCTACTCATTCCTTGTCACCGAGTCATTTCCAGCTCTGGACAGAGTGGGCCGTACATGAGCGGCAGGGGCGACCATCTCAAACAATGGCTGCTCACCCATGAGAGGCAGAGAGGGGAAGGCTGAAGCATGACAGAGCCCGACTGTCCTTCATTCAGTGCGCACACACCCACACACACGCACAGGGTTGTTTTCTTCTTCTTCTTTTTTTTCAAACACAAAACAAGGCTATAAAGTTAGGCATCTTGGCACAAACTGTGGAACAACTGGAATTACTTGGAAACACTCACCGTAGTTATTTATTTTTTCTTTTTTTTTTTATCTAAGAATAGAGATGCTGCATCGTTAATGCGATACAGAATTGTTGCAGAATTAGATTGTTGCAAAAATAACTTAAACAGAGAACAGTAGGAATTACAAACATATGCTCCCGTGGGTCCTCATTGCATTTGCCAGATAGTGCTGGAATGGTTTTTCTAAAGCATTATTATTCCCTTAAAAATATGTCTCTTGCATTGTTGTTGTTGTTATTTTTTTCTTCCTTAGCAGAATTAGTCTTTGTACCTCTCGTTGGTTTTTTAATTTCCTGCCAAGTGAAAGCTTTGTTCGACATCCAGTGATAAAGGCTCCGAATTTTATGGCTACAAAGCTTTGTAGTGAAGCATTTGTTTTGTCTTCATTTAGATCTCATTGTTTGCTCTCGCCTTATAATCCACCTAGAGTGGAGAGATGTCTCATGCGTTATATATACTGTACTCTTCCTCCGTTTCGACATGTTTAAATAAACACATTTCAAAACGACAAATCTGCTCTTTTCATCATTTTCACTTTGTTTAATTTCAGTGCTGGTTTCTTATAAATTGCTCTCGGTTCAGCTCGTTTTTAATTATGCCGTGTGTCTGTTCTTCCCGCGCTGTCTGACTTGTCAGAGCTCCTTTTTTTATTTCTGAGTGGGCTTTTCCATTAGAGGGCAGTACAGAACGGGGAAACAGAAAATCAACATTTCAACCTTGAATTCATCCAGTGCATTTAATCTGTAATTTAAATGTTTATGTGTTGTTTTATTATCATCACAACCCCATTTAATCTCTGTGGGATAAATTATTATTTCTTACTGGGAAAAAAAAAAGAGAGCATGCGGTGATGCGCGTGTTTAGAGAAAACAGTTGTTTTAACTGAATGTGCCTTGAACTTTTACTTTCCGCATTTTTTTGTTTTCTCCCATTGATCCGTTGTTACAGTTACAGTTTGAATTCTTGATTCACCTCACTGTCTTCTGCTCCAAAGTGACCCTAAGTCGCTCATAGTTATTCCTCTTCTCTTCAGCCCAGGTAGCCTAATAATCCACCCTCCAAAAATAACCCCAGCTCTAACCTTTACAGAACCAATTCGAGTGGCCCGCCTGCTGAATATATTTGAACTTTGCTGCATTTTTGAATCTTCTTATCCGCCCCTGCTCCGCGCGGCTGTCTCTCTCGCCGCAGCTCGCCGGACTCAGTTATTCTGCCATTGGAGCAGCATCGCAGCGTAAATGTTGAGGCAGCAGACAGGCAGATGAAGAATGAGACTCAGTCTGTGGTTTCACAGAGGGCTAATGATGCCTGTGGTGACTACAGGCTACAGTCAGCCCCCTAACGAAGGGAGCTGTGACACAGCCACAAGGGGTCCCATTTAAGCCAGGCGCACTCTGAAGTGCACTGTAAGCACCCTCCTTTTTTTTTTTTGCTACTGGCCAAGTAAATTCTATGGAATGCCACAAATTTAGCAACCAAAAGCGACTGAAGTCTTTAGAGTTGAGTGGTTGATGTTTTTAAAACAAGTCCAGCATCAAAGCATCAAATATGCTGCCAGTAATTGGTTCTGTAATTTACCCAGAGTCCCTCTAACAATTATTACATCATTATTTGTCAACTTTTTACCATTTTTACAATTTGTTTTTTGTCTTAACCTACCAATAAATGCGTTATTTTGCCTTATTTTGTCATATTTTCACCACCTTTTTATAATTCAGGCTCAGAGATAAAAATAAATTAGATTTAAAGAGCCTCATCCACGCTGTTAATCTCTGGGAAACCTTTAATTTTGCCCTCATACCTGCCTCCTGTTTCACAAAGAGACTGCTGGAGTGCACGTGCGGGCCCGCTGTGCATGTGGGTGCGTGAGAATGTGGCCATGCATGCTGGTGTGTGTGCACATGTGCATGTCCATATGTGTGTGGGTGAAGTGGATGATATTGAGTCTGACTTCATAAATCACCCAGACACTGATAAACTCCCCATGCACCCACACACCGCTAATGGGCAACCCTTAAGGAGTGTGAGTGTCTCGTGCGGCGTTTGATTCAACATTTATTAACCCCCTCACACACACGCATGCGTGCGTGCGTGTTTTCTCTCTCTATATGTTTCTCTCTGTTTCTCTCTCTTTCTCACACACACGCACACAAGCGACACACACTTATTTGAGCCCCTGAAAGAGTGGGGATACGGTTGGTGGCATCCGTTGCATTAGTTCGGGGTTCTGACCTGGCCGGGCTGTATTAATCACAGCCCAATAGTAGCGAAGATACATTCTGGTTTATACAAGCTGCAGCAGAGACAACAACAACAGCCTCTGCATTTCCTAACATTAGTTTCCTTCTCATAACTTATATCCTGTCTCCAACTCCCCGCTTCCCATCTCATATCCTGGCACCCCTCCTCATTATAGAACAATTTTCTGCCCCCACATCAAACACAAACACACTCCGCGCTTCCATCTCCTTCTCTTCATACATGTCGGCTCATAATTCTACCGTTATCACGACCTGAACCCTTTTGGAACAAGTCCCGACGCTTAGTCCCCCCTCACCACCAACTCCCCCGACCCCGCCCTGCAGAATTAATGACGCAGCCGCCTTGCCGATTTCATAAACAGCCATTCTTCCAGAAGAAGTTTGCGCGCTTAAAATATATAAAGCTACAACTTTCTGGTGCATGTTAAGCTCAATTGCAGGCAGAAAGCAGATAGGCAGCCTCCAACACTCAGACAGACATGAGGATAGATAGCTGGATACACAGACATTAGACCGGGATTTTGGCTGCCGTATCGGGTTTCCTCCCCCAGTGTCTGCCGGGACGGCCTTTCTCTCGGAGGCCCTGACACCGAGGCACCACACAGCCAGCCACGACAGCTGCCACAGCAGCGTCTAATACCAACACACTCCATGCTCCAGCGCTACTACAAAGAGAACCAGCGTTTCAAACATGGCACACTTTGATGCTCTTGTAATGATCTTTGTCTGTTGTTTTGAGACAGAAACCAGGAGGACATAGGATTCACACATTTTTTAATGTCGGTTTCTTGAGAACAAAGAGACTGATCTCTACAGCACCAAGTTGAAGATTAAATGAGAGAAAAAATAAAAATAAAAACCTCTTCATGGTATCAGCATGCGACCTTGTGTCAGCGAGAACCCAAGCATTGGGTTTTTGGGCTCCCTGATTAGGAACGGCTGACGAATGGCTGTACATTACGTGAGAGCGATTACCTTTGAGTGTGCACATATCAATCTGCGACTGTGCAGCGCAGTTGTCAGCGTGGTAAGGAGAGTGTCTCAGCCTGGAGAAAGTGCAGGTCTAGCCTTGGTCATGTTGATGGAGGGGCGGCACTTCAGAGGCTCCAGGACCCCATGGCACCAGTCTCCCCAGTCCCCCAGACAGACTGGGAGCATCTGGGCTCTGTCAGCGCCTCTGGCCCCTGCAGACTCCGATCTATATGACGGGAGAGAGGAGTGCAATGGATCAGGCCGAAGGAAAATATGAGCCAGATTCCTCTGCCTCGTGCAAAAGATATTCTGTGCCAGTAAGCGTGTAATGTGGATGTGAGGCAGCATTAAAAGGATTTTTTTTTTGAAGTGAGACTGTTAAAAGGTTATGAGCTGCTAAAATCTTACCTGTACTAGATAGTCCTGCTTTTGTCTTCCAGATTAGTTTAACCTGCAGGCTAACATGAGACCTAAGTGAACTTAAACCATCTTAAAACAACTTCAGATTAAAATTACACTGTGATTTATGAGAAGACTATGATATAAATTTGGAGTAAATTGTCATGTTTGCATTTGGTGGTTAGTTAGAGAGACGCTGATGATTATTTACATGGTAAATGGAGGTAATAAATTATGTTTTTCCTTTTTATACCACTTTTAAATCAGAAGGTTACTCTTAACAAAATACAATGTTGAAATGACCTGGACTGGGGTGCAAACAGGTTTCCTTAAATCGTTATCTTTATTTATTAAAGTTGTTTTAAACAATAATGTGACTGTAAATGTTTGACAATCCAGTTTCTGTTCTACCAGTGCCGGAAAGTGGGGGTTAAACACTTTTATAGCAGGTTTTACCAACACCACCTGGCGATATTAAAAACTGAACAGTGTTTAAGAACTCAGTCAGAAATGAGTTTTAAGGATCCGGCTGAGAATATCACATTGCAACTTTTTAACAGAGATCAGATCAACATCGGGAAGATGAAAGACAATGCTTTTGTGTTCTTCAATTGCTAATCCAACTTTGTAAATGTTGACGCCCATTGCTTCTACCTTATTTTGCCAGTTGAAAAACTAATTCTGGTGTTTTAAACAGGCTGGTTATAAGACTTAGATTGGCTAATGGCTTCTATAACCTTCCCCTAGGTCAGGTGTGTCAAACTCATTTTCTTTTTGGGCCAAATCAAGATCACGAAGGCTCTTAAAGGGCCGGTTGTCCCAGAATGTGTTGATAAAATTTGTTCACAAACTGTTAATATGTCAATAAATTCTTTAAATTACATAGTATTATTGAGGATCTTTTCAGTCCCTTCAGGAACTAATAATAAATGCGACTGTTTATTTACTCGCTGTATAAATCATGGACTATAATCATACATCAACTAAATTCTCAAGAAACTGGAGGGACTGATTGATATAAGTTGGTAGTAAACAGATAAAAACTGCATTGATGTGATTGATAATATAATTTTTAATCACACTTAGTGTTTAGTCTATTCTGTGGAGGGCCACATAAAAAGCTACGGCGGGCCGGATTTGGCCCCCGGGCCTTGAGTTTGACACATGTGCCCTAGGTTAAAGCGGTTCTTTTCTCTGGCCCAGTACTGAGTGCTGAAAGAACTCTTTTTATGGGTGTCAGAGTCAGAACTTGTGATGATGGAAATGCAAAGAGCTAGTTCCTTTAACTCATCAAGATCACTGGTAGTTTAACACCTGCTGAATCCATTTTTTATTTAACTAACAACTGGTTACTAAGTAAATACAAGCAGGCAACAGTTTAAATGTTCAGGATTATCTTCAATTTGAGAGCTAATGCATAAGCGTAATCATTTATGTGAATAACTATTTTAAACAGAAAATGACCACTTTGCTTTTGGCTTATCTTAGACCGGCTAGCTAACTAGATAGTTATCAACCTCAGGTAAGATATTAACCACCAATAACATCTCATCAGTATCCCACTTGAAACGTCCTATGTATCCCTTAAAGACCCTGATAGCATTAATTTTGCATGGTGTGAAATTAAGGTTATAGATTGGCTCCTAATACTTAAAAAGACCTTTTTTATTAACTGTCCAATTAAGAATTAATTAAAAGCACAGTTCCAAATATGTGCAAAGCTGGTTCTGAGGAGAAACATCAACATGCGTCTGACAGAAATCACTCCAGAGTTCCCTTATGAAAGAGAGTAATGATTTGATCACTCCAAAGCTCTGCCACATGGAAACTGATACACTCACTCGCCAACACTAATT